GACCAGTAGATGTTATGTCAGACCATAAACCGCTGGTATCAATCACAAAGAAGCCACTGGTTAATTCTTCGCCAAGGCTTCAATGCCTGCTTCTGAGACTTCAGAAGTATGAAGTCAACATCTCTTATGTTCCAGGCAAATACATGTATGTAGCAGATACACTCTCAAGAGCCTTTCTGAATGAGCAGCCTACAGATGATGATTTGAACGATGACATGGAGGTGATGGTCCATAGCCTCATTACAAATCTTCCCATGACCCAGGAGAAATTGGCACAAATGAAGTCTGCAACAGCACAAGATGAAGACCTTCAGAAATTATGTACAGTTGTTAAGAATGGTTGGCCTTCCCACAGAAGCCAATTGCCTGCATCAATTGCCCATTACTGGAGTCTTCGTAGTGAAATTCATGAAGTAGAAGGCCTGTTGTTCCTTGGCCAGAGGCTCATAATCCCACAAGATATGAGACAAGCTGTCCTGAATTGTATCCATGAGAGTCACCTTGGTATTGAAAAGTGTAAGTCAAGGGCCAGAGCTGTAGTCTATTGGCCAGGCATGTCTACTGCAATTGAGAGACTGGTGGCTAAATGCCCAGTGTGTCTCAAGTATCAAAGAGAGAACCAGAAAGAGCCTCTCCTGCCTCATGAAGTTCCCCAGAGACCATGGCAGAAGCTTGGTGCAGACATATTTGAACTGAACACTAACTCTTATTTAGTTGTGGTTGACTACTACTCTAAATATCCGGAACTTTGTCTTATGAAAGACAAGACAGCTAGCTCTGTTATAACTAGCATGAAATCAATTTATGCCAGACATGGTATTCCAGATGAAGTTGTTGCCGACAACATGCCCTTCTCAAGCAAGGCTTTCCGTAATTTTGCAAGTGAGTGGGGATTTGAAATCTCCACATCAAGTCCCAGATACCCACAGTCCAATGGGATGAGTGAAAGAGCAATCCAGACCATCAAGAATTTACTTAGAAAGGCTTGTGCAGACGGAAATGACCCCTACATTGCTCTACTGGAGTACAGGAACACACCCATCTCTGGACTTAAGGAGTCACCTGCTCAGCTGTTAATGAGTCGCATGTTGAAGTCCAAACTACCTACTGTGGAGTCTCTCTTGAAACCTCAAGTGGTTGATAGCCCCCAACAGAAGCTGCAACAGCGGAGTGATAAGCAGAAGATGTACTATGACCGGAATGCTAAGCAGCTGCCGAGTATTAAGGAGGGTGAAACAGCTAGAATAAGAAAAGGAAAGACTTGGGAGCCTGCCATCGTTACTGCACAACATAGTGCTCCAAGATCCTACATAGTTGCAACACCTGATGGTACCACCTACCGACGAAACCGTCATCACCTGCTCCCAACAGTCGAGTCGCCTCCACTGATCGCAGGACCAGCTATTGATGGGCCAGGCGTGCCTGTAGTAGCCGAACCGCCAGTTGCCGTCCCACCACCTGATGCTGCCATGCCCTCCCTAAACTCATCCAGCCATTGCAGTCCTCAACAGACACAGCGTACTTCCAGCGGCCGAACTGTCAGATTACCAGCAAGATTCAGAGAGGACTATGTTATGAACTGAACTGTCCACACTCAGTAACCAGACATTGAATCAGACTGTTTTGTT